GACGATAGTCCTACATGAGCAGATAGCTATTTTATGAAGCAGTTACATGACATTTTAGAATGCCATTGATATTGAAACTCATTTTATATTTTTACTAGTTTTTGCTCATTAAAATGCAATGTATTAAAGAAAAAACTTTGCAGTAGGTTATATATGTGTTTGTTGTATATGAAATGTGTGTTATCATTTCTATTTTGGATCTGTTTATTTAATGAATTGTTATTTACTAAAAAAAGAGGCGATATATTTAAACAAGCAGGCGCTTGCTCGAAAAGTTTATATTATGCGTCCAGAAATGGCAGAGAGCCGATGAAACTGAACAGAGACAAAAGAAGGGATTTTAGAGGTGTCCAGAAATGGGATTTTTACCTGAATATCCTTTATGAATGACCCATTCACTCACTTTGACGAATACTATACTTTGAATCGTCTTTGTCTGATGTTAATTTTTGGAAGTTTGTTTCTTTGAATTGAATTTGTATAATAAACAATCATGTGTTTTACTAATTGATAATAAGAATTCACAACAGCATTTCAACACTATACAATGGTGTCTTATTCAATCAAGGAAGGAATGCTTTGATTCGCTAGGGAAATCATATACTTATATTCACACATAAGAACAATTGTTTTTTTTTAATAGACAGCACGCTGCCAGTTATTTTTTTATCATCATGTTACGTATTTTTTCTTTATAAAATCGAATAAGCTAGTATGATAAAGATCATAAGATTATGCTTTAATATTGTTTATTATTGTTTCATGTTACTTTTTTCTCTTCCCTGCTTTAGAGCAAAAAGATTGTTTTTTGCATGTACATCAGTGTAATTTTCTATGATAAAACTTTTACAAAAACCTTGTTAGTTATTTTCGGCATCTTCAAAAAACATTACACGCAAAACTTTCCAATATCCTTTAAAAGTGCTTTTAAGGACAAATAGATTTTATTGATATTCTAGACATGATTTGTTTGTCTCACTTCTGCAGGATGTTCTCATTCTATTACGTTTTTTATGAGATAAGAATTAAAACAACTGTAGAAATATCAGACCGAATTTTCGAATCTCGGTTTCTTTTCTTAAAGACCGTGATAGATATAACGACAATGAAATCTACTCTATTAGTTTTTTCTATTTATCAGAAGTGAAAGTTCGAAGTATATTGACAAATCAAAAATTCCGTAGAGTGGTGTTGATTTATTTCTCCCTATAGAATTAAATAAAGTATAGAGTGCATCCAAGAACATCATTAACCGGCTTGTAAAACATTACTTTCAATTAGTAAAAGCAGTTATATTATGGTTCATATTTTAATCTTACAAAGAGTGTACTAATAGTTTTTCTTCGATATAAATGAAAGCACATCATTTGATATGAACACAATTTATTTATTACCTTTCATTCTTTGATAATCTATGATGAATATTATTCAATTATAAATTTAAAAAAACGAGATATAACTATTGAAATCAACAACAACTTTATGTAAATAAATTAAAAAAAATACAGATTTATAAGAAAAACATATATCTTCACATAAACAAGTAGAGCAACAACAGCTACTTAACAAAATAAGATTGAATTAGTATTTCTAAGTCTCTTTTTTTTTTCAAAAATGATAAATTTTAATTCCTCACAAACCAATTTAAGGAAAATCAATAATGTTTGATAATAATAATAATAATAAAACATACCAAACGACAACAATCACTCTTAATTCATTAACGATGACCTTGACACACATAAAAATAAGCATTCCCGAAGGATAATTTAAAATCAACATGAATATAATTATCTTGATTAAATATAGTTCTAATCCAGCATCTTTGTCGATATTTCAAAATTTAATTTACATCATGTAATGCCACATTAATTATTAATTTTCTCAAATATTTACCAATATCAACGACATTGTGTACTATAATCAAAACACATTTCGAACTTCTATCACTAACAGATTATTGATTTTCAAAAAGACGATATTTTATACATCAACAGTTTTCTAAGCAAAGTCCGATATTCTCGTGTTTAAATTAAATGATTTTGCTTTTAATCACCAGTACCATAAACTATTTTTACATAATTAATATTCTTAGAAAGTATTATTTTGGATAGTTAATTTAGATAATTTTACATGAATACTTCACATTTTATTGCATCATAAAACTATGAAAAGACTACGAAAGCTAAAATCATAGCCTAAGGTGTTTTTTTCGAAGAACTATGACCTATATTTCTATTAGCGATGTTATGAAAAGGGAACCAATCAATTTGTTTGCCACCCCGATGGAACCATCATAAATTACGGTGCTAACTTAATTAGATTCTAGTTCTTGAAACATGTATGAGACTTCTACTACTGCTATGTTCTTTATCGAACATCCAAGTTTTGTTTCGCCTCTCTATCTTACTTATATAAAAGATTTTTGAAGTAATATAAGAACAGTAATGTTTTATAAGACAAAATGTCGATTGAATACTTCCAGATTACGTTTTCTAAAGGATCGAATAAAAACGTGTCTACGATCAACAATGACACAACAACGTTTTGATCATATCATTGTTCTTCATATTTGTAAAGAGAATTTAGACAAAGCAGATTCGAACAGAGTTTACTCTAATTTCATTTAAAAAAAAAGACAAACAGAGGTTTTTTCAATCGTAACTAGTAATGCTTTTTAGTTCTAATGATTTTCTTTTCTCTAGATTAGGTTTAGTTTTTACGTTTATATTGATTATTCGTTAAAACAGTTGCTAATATCGTATAAACTTTTTATCAACTTAAAAGCATAGAAATATATGGATGTAGAAATATTTCTTTAATGAGAATCATTATTAACTTCCAGTCTCCCGTAGATTACAATTGTTTTACCATCTATGATGAAAACTTCAAATTACACATACCATCGTGTTCTTCTTCTTGATGTACTTATTTCGGTCATATTATTATCTTCTTATTCGAAAGAAAAGATCACGCATAAAAACTATGATTATACTTAATAAATATTTAAAACAAAATACTATTTTTCATTTAGTTCAATAAGTGGTAATATTATCTTATATTTTATACAATTCGAAAACAATAACTGAACGTTTGAATTATAAATAATAGAATATTTATCATCTTTTCTAATAATAGACAAAAGAAATCTAAAACGTCATGCACAAGACAATCGATACAATGTTATCCTTTAGACTATTGAGATTTTCCACGCGTTTTTCATTGAATAGTTTTTTTTTGTAGAAAGAGTTTCATATTCATCAAATCCTTTTTGCATGTTTCACACCCAATCAAGATTTCATTCAATAAAATTATATCGAATTGATCATTTCGATTGAAAACAATAAGAGAATAATGTAAGCTTATTTTTTATTGATTCTGATAGGTTTCTCTGCAAGGATAACAGAGTAGTTGTAAAAAGTTCCATTGTCTGATAAAACGTAAATAAACTCCAATTTTTCTACCTGATATTTTGACTATTAATAGAATTCGGTAAACTCTGATCACCAGCAATAAATCAAGGTCAATAGGTCGTAATGCAAAGGATTTACAACGAAAATATTGATGTTTTTGTTAGAATCTGAGAAAATCTTTTTTGACACTTTATTGGTTTTCCATTATTTAAATCCGTTAACCTCTATCTTTTTATTAAGAAATAAAGACGCGCACGTCTGTGTTGTGCCAGCGATAGAATATTTCAATCCATTGTAATCTTGAGGCGGGAGAAAACAACCTTGGCATGGGTCTCATCTCTGCTGACCACTGCGATCATGAATTTTTCGATAAAAACTTGATTAGAGCAAAGCACTTATTGAAGAAGACTCTATGGCAAGCGGGTGCAATTAGCTGAAGATATTGGTCACTTTTACCACCGTTTCCATCAACTCTCATACGGAGATAACCAAAATATTACTTCATAAATCTGGCAAAGTAAAACTGTTTGGCATGACATCTTTTATTGGCGATAGAAGCAGTACTAAACTGTCGCATGAGAGGTCTACGATCATAAGTTTTATTTTCTATGTTGAGATATCGTCGTCTGAAGAAAGACTCTATGTTAACCTTCTAGCTCCTCCATGTAAAGATGGAGCAAATCTTGATTAGTCCTTGCGATCAGAGTTCAACATGCTATATTTGTAGTCAAACTATAAAATGAAAGGATTAAATTTTGAGTACTTTCGACCTGGTAGCAGAACTTTTTAAGTCTACTATATTTGCGGATACGTAAATGAATTATGTTACACAATGGCTTATATTCGTTGTTTTGAGAGAAATGGATATGAATAGAAGTAGCAAACAACATGATGATAATCATATTGATTCTAATCAACGCAATTCGATCTAAATTCTATTCAATTGAATAAAATTTCCAGTAGTAGATATACGATTCAAATAGCGAAGCTCAAAGATCGAAAAAAAATGATCACGAGACGCATCAGCCTGCTTTTGTAATAGTACAGAACTTTTGAAGAAATTGTTAGAGTCTAGTATTATGAGTGATCAGGACTATTCAAGGAGTTGGAATGATAATAAAACAAGAGGAAGGATGACTACATCACGTACTTAGAATCAAGCATCTTTCTGTTGTCCGGATATTTGTCATAGTCAGTGAGATAAGAAAAGATATTTGGTATTCATTTTAGAATCTGAGTAAAACATTCAGATCATAAATAGAAATACACTTTAATATTCTCTTGCATATTATGTATCATTCTCATAAAAGTCATTACAACATCAGTTTTTTCAAGTATTTATTGACAAATACTACATCTATAAGTCATGTATATCTGATTGTTAGTCTTACGAAATTCTTACTTCTTTTGTTGTTTTTATAGTTATTTATGAATTCTGGTTTTTGTTTCTCTCTAACGTGGTTAATTTACGAAATCTTACATCACTTTTTCTTTCATTCTCTATATATAAAGCTTTCTCTAACTGTTATTAGATTTATAGTTGATCTCGTTGTTGTATAATTCAACATTTAAAATTTAGAAAATAAAATGCCAAAAAACAAAGAAAAACGTGGTAAAAATGAAAATGATGATGTGAAACGTAAATTAATACTTAAAGATGATAGACAATCTTATGCACAAGTAACATGTATTTTGGGTAATAGTCATATAGAAGCATTGTATTTCGATAGCATCAGTGGAAAAGAAAGATTACGTCATATCCATGTTAAACTACGCAAAAAAAAAGTATGAATTAATCAAGGAGATGTTATTCTTGTTGGACTTCAAGATTATCAAGATGATAAAGCAGATGTTATTCTGAAATATCATGGTAAGAAATAAGTTTATTATTATTATATTATTATCATTTCATAAAAATTATCGATTTTTTATGTTGTTTCTTTTTTTATAGTTGATGAAGCTCGTAAATTGAAACGTTTGCGTGATATTCCAGCTAATATTAATAGTTCTCCTCTACTAAAAGATATTAATGATGAATTGGACCAAGTCATTACTTTTGACGATAGATATAATGGTGAAGCATCAAACAATGATCAGAAAGGATTACCGTATAACATAGGAAACGAACTAGCTGGTAATAGTAGTCTCTCTGAAGAAGAATCACACGATGATGAAGATGATAGTATCAATTTTTTCTAATCTTAATCGAATGACAAAAAAAGACTGGAAATTTAACTAGATATTATTAACCACTAACAAAAAAAGAAAACAAACTTATGCGCAATAATCGAACAGCAACAGTCTTAGGATCGGGCTGAGAAGTGAATGACTGACTGGTTGTAGATATTTGATCAGCGCACATGCCCTTTTGTTATCTTCGATGTTTCGTTTTCGAATCGTGTAAAACAATTATATATAAGTAAAATTTTTAATAAACAAGGAAATCAATTCAAATTCAGATCATTCAATATATTTATTTTAATATTTTACATTTAACAATAAAATGAAAAACATATACGTATTATAATGAAGATAAATGTCTTGATACATCACTTATTCGAAGTAGAACTCATATGAAAATATTTGTACTTGTATTTTTTCAAGTAAAAAGTGCAAGAACAAATATTCATCTAGGATATTTAGCACTTATATTTGTACTTCAAGGCACATACTTTGGTGCTTTCTCTTTAATACAAAAACCTGAACTTTCAAGTTTTTCCTTGAAATTCGAAATAGTGTCGTTTTTATTGTTTGAATTATTTTTCTATATGATATTACAAATAGAAGTGCGTAGCAGGAGAAAATATTAGACTCAGACATTTGTAAACAATCAGTACGTTGAAAATAATTAGACGCAACTTTTCTTCGTTTGATATCTACATATTTATTTCATTTCAAAATAGCGGATCTGGTCACATTTGCTGAAGACATTGTTTATTAGGATTAAAAATGCACTGTTAATGTGGCAATCACTTTCAAAACCATACGGTATAAAATCTCGAATCTTAAAGGTTTCACTGTTGCCATCATCAAAAGACGTGTCAAATATTAAAGCTGACAGAATTACGTTGCTTGACCGTTCACTATATACATATATGAAATTAAAAAAATTAAGAGTTATAGAGTTTTGATGATTGTTCAAAACTTAAGACTCGTTTAGATACCGTTTTGTATATTTCCTATGTATTGTATCAGAAATGAAAAGTGATCATCTTGGAAACATTAGGAAAATGGATAGATCGAATGAATTTGAGATAACTCTATTATTCTTTTAAAGCACATCGTAATCTTCCACGTAGTAAATATTTTAAAATGATTAGTAATATATCAAAATGGATCTGATAAACTTGATGTATTTTTTGTTTAGTATTCTTAGGAACAATGAATTGGTTTAAACCTATTTTTTAGACAGGTAAAACATATGCTCAAGAAATCTCTCATGAATATTCCATTCTAAAATTTCTCCTACATGTCATCGAGTTTTATTTATCTATGACAGTAAACTAAATGCACAGAATCTTTTATGGATATTATTCACCATTTTGAAGAAACTGGAACAATGAAAATAGACGATATTTACAAGTGTTTTCACGTGACTTGATGAACTTATGAGCGAAAAAATTTATATTAAGAAATTCTTATTTTCATTTAGTTTTTGATAAGATGATATCACGGTGTTCTTAAAAACTTTATTAGAGGTAGATGACATTACAAACGGCACACCATATATTTATACATTAGATAAATATGTCAATTATTTTATTCATACTTAAGTACAAGTACATTTTTTAAAGTAAACGTAAATTACCTTTACTTTCTATATTTCTATTTGTCCTAGCTCTGATTTGAAGAAGTTTATTTTTTTTAAATAAAATCTCACTATTAATAAACCAAAAAAAATTAAAAGAATAATCTGTCAAAGCCTTACGAAAGCCATACATTGACTAGTGAAACTAATATCACAATATGGAGTATTCAATAGATTTAGTTATTGTTTGAATTATTTTTCATAAACATCAAAATATGCATGTTTTTTTTATCAATTCCACGTTATTGAAAACAAGAATCATCATTTAATGAGTTAAGTTCTTATAGACAAATCTGTACATTGCAGTAAATAATATAAACATAAGTATATTTTCATTCATTATTTATTGATAAAAGTTTCATTACTAAAACTGACAAAACATATTTGAACTGGCTTCCAGAGAAAACGATACATTCAAAGGAATAGATATGGTGTTTACATTTAAGTAAGTTATATATGTCTATCCATAAAATAATATTTACTAAACTGATTAGAACATGTTACATATAATATTGGATTAATCAAAAGAAAAACACTGATGACTACTTAAACCACATAGTACATGAATACAACAAATAAATTTTAAAAATTCTTTTCTCATTTTCTGACTAACCCACCAATATCTATGAATACATAAATACATTTCCTTGTTTTTTTTTGTTTACCTCTAATACAAAACAACAAATAAAAGACTATATAATTAAAAACGTAAATTTAAATTGAGATCAGATAATTTCATATCTTTGATTTTTTGTGGTAAATTCATTTCTTTTAATGCTGTCATTGCTTTATTTGGTCCGGCTGTAATACCAGCTTCTTGTTTTTCTAATTTTGATTGTTCATCAAAACGTGCAACTATTTCATTCATATTTGTTTCTAAAACCATACCACCTAAACACATTTCTTGTAAAATATAATGAACTTTATCAACATGAAATATTAAATCAAGTTCACATACATTCTAAATTACGAAAACAAGAATTCAATTTGAATTTTCTTACGAAAAAAAAAAAAAAAAAGAAATTTACTTCAAAACATTTATCAAGTGTTTCAACAAAAACTTGAATTAAATCAAGTATGCCTAATTCACTTTCTGAACTATCCACACAAAATATAAAATATAGTGTTGCATAATGACGATATATTAAACGGTAATCATTTCCACCAATTAGTGATCCACCCTCAAGAAAATTACAAACATTTTCATCACGTTTTGATACTAATTGATATGTTTCTCGAACAATTTGTTGTTGAATTTCTTCAGGATAATGTTCGAAAAATTTTATTAATCTTGGTTTAGCTGAATTATTAAAGACAAGTATTGCTTTGATCATGATAGAATAAACATACTACGTAAATTTATATCTTAAAAAACAATCTAAAAAAAAAATTGGTTGTTGTTCTAAAAATATATGGAGAAACGAAAAGGTCAAGGTAAATATAAAAAAAAGAATAATAAGCAAGTAGGGATGCATTGAAGTAGAACGTAAATGAATATGTGCATATTCATTTATAAAAAAAAATGGGTAATAGAGGCGATAAATACGAAACCTTATCTGATAATGATATACAGGCTTTAAGTGTACAAACTCAAATACCACCACATATTCTTCAACAAATTTATCAGGCGTTTATGGAAAGAGCAGGAAGTGATGGACGGTAAAGAAAATCATTAAAATAAAAGAAATTTATTTATTTATTTTTCATTTATAATAAAGTATGGTAGTAACTGATTTCAAGAAAGCTTATACAGAAATAAATCCAAACGCGAATTTTTTCACTCTTGATAGTGATGCAGAACGTATGTCTTTTTTTTCAAATTTACTTTACTAATTTTTCATTAATTATTTTTAGGAGTCTTCGTGATGTTTGATTGGAATCATGATGGTAAAAAAAGACAAAACAAAAATGTATGTGTTAAGAACTAATTTGTCTTTCTAATAGGTGTTTTGACGTTCAATGAATTTTTGATGGCGTATATTCTCTTACAACGAGGTGATGACGTTCCAGCAAATCGTTGGCAAAATGTAATGAACACTATGCCTACAAGTGTTCTTTCTAGACCTGGTCTATTGAACTATACTGAAGCATTTCAACTTCTTCAATATATGAATAAATTTTATCAAGTACCGGATTTTGATCTAACTATGCAACATAATGCTATTTGGACTCAATTAACACCTTACTTGGATCCCAATGGTTATATACCACAAGCGCAATATCTCAGTGCCTTGAATGCTCAACCTCAAATTCAACCACATATTTGGTGAAGAACTTTTTGCATGTTTTTTCTGCTATTTTTCTCCTTAATCAAAACTAATCATTTAAAGAACTCATTATCTTATCATATTTTAAGTTTAGCTGGCTAAAGAATAATTACACTTTAGATTTCTTGTAGTAACAGAAAATTCTTGAAAAAAATTACTAATTTGTTTTACCAAATACTCTCAAATTATAGAGCTGATGGTTTCATCAACAAATCTATTTAATAAATTCTTTTACCTTCGATTTAAAGCTCTTACCAAATTTAGAGTTAACGAAAGTATTCAATTTATCTGGTCGAGTTGATGAATACTGCTACTAGAATATAAAACATGCAAAATCATTACAATAAAAAATGAATAGGTGGTCATCAATTGAGAGTTTATTGGAAATCGTTTGTCTTGTTGTTGTTACAGTTACTTCTTCTGACAATAACTCTTGATAAAACAATAATCCATGCAGGTAAATCTACTTCAAGTTATAGACCTTTGAATATTTTCTTGTTATTTTCATTCTTCATTTAAACTTGTGCAGAATTTGTTTTAACTTTATGATTGTTATACTTAACAATTCACTGCATAATTATCATTACCATCTTTAGTCGCCAGTGTTTAAAATTCATTTCGACGATGATCTATTCTCATTAATTTTATTGAATCGATTTCTGTTCATTATCATAGTTGAATGAAACAACATTTTTTTCATACCTAAATCAAATCATCTTGATTTGTAAACTAGATGTACAGATATATCTATGAGTATTTAGTCATCTAGAATGATACATGAAAAAAGTAATTGTTTAAAAAATGTCTTTCAAAATAATATGTATTCAAAATTCAAAAATCGCAAAAAAGTTGTTCAAATTGTACGAAAAAGTTGAGTGTTTATTGTCTAACTTCACTTTTCTAAGATTGACCTTTTTTTCTGTCGTAGTTGTCAAGCTCTGTTTTAAGTTTATAGTATAAATAAGCACACGTATGCGCACACATCAATGTTTCATCTTGATTCATTCCAAAGTATGTTAGCAAGTTTGAGGAATTTTTTTGAAAATTCAATTTGTCAAATGGCACGAACTGTCGAAGAGGCATAACAAACGAATGATACCTTCCACAATCCATATTAATTGAACGATAAGCAGGTACATATGGTCGAAGAGTCACATTTCGAAAAATATTTTCGAGAAGAAGAAATACTTCCATCAACCACACAAGTTCCGAGCGTGTTTTAATATTTAAATCAAACAAGTCAAACAATGTTTTGACTGATTCATAGCTTCTCGTATTGGTTAGTCGTTTCTTCCATATTTCATAACTATCTTTCTCGTAGGAAGATAAAAGCTGACGTTGTAAAATAGGGCCATCTTTCTCATCATCGAACATCTTTATATAGCCTTGCAGCTTAAGTGGATCTGTAGACTAGAAAAAAGCGAAATATTTTCGTATTTCTTCCATCGATTTATATTACCTCTTTACTAGGATCAGATACAGAACTCGTATCAGAGTCAGATATTGATGTAGTTTTGCTTGCCATTATTTATTACGACGATCAATGCTACACACTGATTTGAAAAATGAGGCACACACCAACATACACTCACTCTTACCCTATTTATTTATTTTTGAAAGTTTTTTCCCATTGGAACTTTGAGTTTTAACCAATTGTATGACAATGAGATGTCACTATTATCTACATGTTTTTTTTTTTGTTATTTGTCATTCAATATTTCTCGATTCTTGTATTTAACGCTGAATGAGCAATAACTACACTACACATTTATTGTTTTTATCTTTTCTGCATCAATATCTTTACCCTAATCTCGTTTCAATAACATATTATAAAAAAAGGCTTGTTACTGCAGGTCCTTTCGGACTGGAATGTGGTTTTCACACATATTCGTTACCCTTATTAAACTAATTCAAAATAGATGAAGTGAAAAATTCTTCATAGACTGCAGTTGTGTTCAAAAATAATCGATCAACAAAATAAAGATTTGTCTAATTTGTTTTTGCATTTCGAGCAGAAATTTTTTATTTTTTCTACGGGCGCCCTATTTTTTGTTTTCATTATTGCTATTTTCTCATTATTATTTAATTCTTTTTGATTTAACATTCTTATTATTATAATCATGGAGTTGATTGAGAAATAAGTCTGTTGTTCATATCTATGGTATCTACAGCAAGTCTTACGCACTATATATATATATATATATATATATTAATCAGTTCCCAAATAATGATGCTCACTCTTTTTCAAAATTATAACTTGATCTATTTTGAAAAAAATTTCAAACAATCTGATGTGTGTTTTTCTCGATTCCTTAGGTCTGTAATGAGAAGGACGGCTACCTGAGTTACTGAGGTCTGAGACGAGACGCCGTTGCTAAGTATCTATAGTGAAAAGGACGATGGGAGCCGCAAAAGCTGGCTCTTAAATTTAAATTTACCATTTTCTTCGAAAATTTACGTGAGTTTCACAAATAGTAATTAAAATAGACTACAGCACAACTAAAAAAATTTAAATCAGAATTTATAATGGCATGAATTTGAAATGCTATTAGAAGTTGAAGCTTATTTTATGAAATATGCGATTATTATACAAGTTTTTGAGGTTCAGCATATCAAAACAAACAATGTAATGTAAGACGTTAGAGATATGTTCATGTTTAGGATACAGCAGAAAGAACGAGGTTTGAAAGCAAAAAACCAATTAGAAATAAGTTAATCAAAATTTTATTTAGTCAATCATTCGATTTACTTTCCTTGATCATTTATACACGATTGTGTTCCTTCAAGTTTGCTATTAAAAGTTTTTATAAAGTGAGCGTAATTCAATAAACTAAGCATCATAGATACAACACAGTGCAAGCTTTTCTCAGTGGTGCTGCTCAGTGGACTTTTGTTTGATCAAATCATGTAACCAAAAATAACATCGTGTCAACTCTGAAGAATCTGATAATTATCAGATAATAACCATATTCTTGTATTTGACATAGTTCTAAACATCTTTATGAACAACAATCAGGAGTATGCGTATCCGATTCTGATCCTAGCTTTGTCGTATTTTGACAATGAGCTACCAATGATTGTTGATATCAAAAAAGTGATTTACAGTTTATCTTCATTTCAGACGATGAGTAAATATGGGATCTGTTAGATCGAAAAAGATGCAGAAAAAAAAAGTTTTCAAAGCGAAGCTGTTTATAGAGAAAATGAACATTCGTCGTATGTTTGACAGGAACTTGTTTCGTTTTCATTTTCAACACACTTGAATTTACATACTCTCGTATAAATACAGAGTGTAGAAAATTCAGACAAGCAATAACTTCCTATCACTTCATTAAATTCTTTTTACAGAGAGCAATTACTATTTCTCATAACGTTAGGTTACTGCTCATTTATGGAAAGAATAAATAGGTGATCGAATTGATGAACAATAACTGAATGCTGCGATTCATCTCTAGGATTTATCCGAATGTTTTGAAAAAAAGATGAAAATTATATTTATTGTTGAGTAGCGAAGACTACAGCAACAAAACGCCTCACAACAAGAAAAACTGTATGGATTATAGTAAAGTTTTAAATCAACTATTGCTTGCTCTTGTGGAAAGCATTCTGCACAATTAGAAGGGCCTTCATACAGTGAGTACACTATCTTAGTTTGATATTATATAAGATTTGATGGCTTACGGCAAGCTTGTTCATGATAACAACGTCACTTATTGAATGTCCATACATCATATGACCACCATATTTTCTGTTCCAATTTCGCCAAGTCTTCTTTATCTAATCTGACTTACTCAACACTTCGAACACGAGATAATTCGTTCGATACTCTAGGCTGATTCATTGGATGACATTACTAAAATTATCTGTCTCCACTTCCATTTTGTCAATCATAAAATGATAATTATTATCTATAAAGTAACAAACTTAATTGATATTGTCAAACGAAATGTTGCTTACATGTCAAGTAAAACATCTCTCATGCTCGATCTTTTTGGAACTATATGATATCGTGAAACTTGATCGTGACATACAGAACATGATTCATCATGAATTGATTTTTCTTTTCTATGAAATGCACTATGCACTTTTAATATGCAAACAAAAATTTCCCGATTCAATCGATTATAGGAGTGTATGGCTTCCATTTGAATTATTTCCATAATACTGTCGATGCAATAATGGTCATATAGTAGATAAATATACAATATTATGATTACTACAAGCATATATAAATAGAAATTCTCCGTTAAGATTTCATGACTATGATATTGTATAAATTTCCATATTTTTGTATGTGCTAGGTATTTTTTCTACGATTATTTTAAATCAATATATGATTTTCATGTCAGAGAAGAAATCTTAAATGTAATATACCATTGGCTAAATAAAATTCTATTGGTCTATCAACACTTATTTTTTCTCTTTCTTGAGATGATGGTGACAAATGCCATCATATATTAAATTATCTTTGATCGAGATTTAACTATTGTTTGAGTGCATGCTAATTGAGGAAATGAAACATATAGAATAAAAGCACGATGAGAGAGTGAATGAAATCATTGAATTGATTGGTGATTATGTAATATGTTGATTTGTTCAAATAATCAATAGTAAGTGGTGAATCGAAACATATATTTGAATGATGGAAAAATTATCATGTATGCTTGTTCTTTACATATGCTACTCAGTGCTCGTATTATGTTTTTTTTTTGTGTTCCTTACAAGTATGTCATCTTTCATTACAAAATATAATTTAATCGATCAATATCAGTGAAAAAGCATTTTATGAATTGAATATGAAACGTCAAAAATGAATACGCCTACACTGTAGTTGCGCATTAATTTTAAGCATAACTAACAATGTGAATATTTAGACGGATGATTTTCACTGAAGATTATACAATATGTCTTTTAAAAAAAAAAGTGAACAAAAGATGATGAATACGCACGATAAAATATAATTCTTCGTTATAATTCTATTTTATCGATGAACGCATATGAAT